GGGGGGTTGTGTTATGTTTCGGCGCAGGTCTTGTGTGTGTGTGAGTGTGTGAGTGTGAGTGTGTGTGTGTGTGTGTGTGTGAGTGTGTGTGTGTGTTGGGACATTCAGCTGTTGTGCAGATCCAGTGATTCTATCAAGTGTTTTTTTTTAGTTTGGCTGATATTTGGCTTTTTTTTTCATTATCAGCATCGGCCTTTTTTTTTTGTTTGGCCGATATTTGCAGTTTTTGTGATTATTAGCATTGGTTAATTTTTTTTTCTTTGGGCGATATTCAACATTTTTTAATTATCGGCATTGACTAATAATTTTTCTTTTCTATTTGGCTGATAGTTGCCATTTTTAGATTATCAGCATCGGCCAATATGTTTGTTTTTTTCAGTTTGGCTGATATTTGGCATCTTTTAAATTATCGGCATCAGACAATTTTTTTGTTTGGCCGATATTTGCAGTTTTTGTATTATTGGCATTGGTTAATTTTTTTTTCTTTGGACGATATTCAACATATTTTAATTATCGGCATCGACAACTAATTTTTGTTTCCTGTTTGGCTGATATTTGGCTTTTTTTTAAAATTATTAGCATCAGCTAATATTTTTTCTGTTTAGCCGATATTTGGCAGTTTTAAATTATCGCATCGGCCAGTAATTTTTCCAGTTTGGCCGATGTGTGGGAAGCGGGACTTTTATTTTGACGGCACTGAGAACGCCAGCACCTGAGCGCACACAGCTTCCATTCGGTCATCATTAGTTTCCTATCTCTGTTTACAGTTCTGACTACTAATTATTACACAGAACTGTTAAACAAAGTAAATGGGACATGAAACCTGCCATCATAGTGTTTGCTTTTTTTATTAATCAATCAAAATATATATATATATGTGTGTGTGCTCTGTAAGATATCTGCATGGGCCATCAGTGGAGCACTACTTCTCTGTTTGTTTGCAGGAAGAACAAGCGTCTGTTCGAAGCGTCGGCGCTGCGTTTGCTGCTGCAGGAGATGCACAGGACCAGCGGCCGCAGTCAAGCCTTCATCAGCATCAACCTCAGCTCCATCCTCCTCAATCTGGGCACGCTCACACGCTCCTGACACGCCAAACACCTCATCACATACGTGCCTCCATGCTCTGCGTCTGCAGTCAGTCACTCACGCTCGTCTGCTGAAAGCCTGAGCTGCTGTTTCCACATCAAACCGCATGCTGCTTTTATACTAGCAAGCTCCCAAATGAGCAATGAGGAATCACAACAGTATGAAACCTGTGTTTATAATCGGTGGAGAGGAAGATTATGAGTGAATAATAATCTCACAAACTATAGACTGATGCTGTTATGATGCTTCAATGGGGATTTTTGACATTTTTGGAGTTTAGCAGTATAAACCATCAGCAGAGAGCAGCTCGGAAGAAGAAAACAATATGCCTTGAAACATTTGTAGGATAGTGCAATTTTATTAATTTTTTTGTATACATTGAAATAATGATTTTGATGTTTTATACTGTAAACAACGACTCAATAAATGTAATTTAATTAAATTGCCTCATTAGTGATGATGTGCCTGACTTTATTTGATCATACACTCAAAACAGTATTTAGGCCTGAATTTAAGATATTTAATAATAAAGCATGCACAGATTTTTTTACTGCCGGTTTCATTTCTATGTGACTGAAAAATATGCATCACATATTTATTAGTTCATGTCAAAACCGTGTAATCTGTGATATGCACTTCAAATGTTAAATTTAGACTTAATATATATATTTTTTGTATATGAGCCATTTTTATTTGTTCCATCACTGGCGTCGTCAAACACTATTGCAGTAATGACTGTTTTCAAACAGGTTTCCTGAATACATTCCCCCGTCTGTCATTGGTCAGTCAGCGAGTTAGTCCCGCCCTAATCTCACGTGATTGGTTGAGTCAGATCAACGCTCTGAAAGCATCAGTGATTCATTCTTCAGGAATCAAACTAACGACTGACTCGCACCAGATTCAAACTCTTTCTCAGAGGAATGTTATTAGTTTTTGTTGTCGTTGTCAGGATTAAAGCTTGAAAGCACCTGCGCTGAGGATCTCTGGTGGTTCTCCTGAGCCGGTCTTCTCTCTCCTGTCACATTGTTTAGCAGCAGCATGATGAATGTTTGCCGGAGCTGAATGAGTTCCAGGCCTGAGCGCACTCATGTTTAGTCCAGATGGAGCAGGATTTGTTTTGAGTCTGTTCTCAATCACACATGTTCCTGCTGTAATGGAGAAAAGCTCTGCTCGATGCTGTATCTCTCGGTTTGACGCTGTGCTGGAGAGATCACGTGAGAGTCCAGACAGATAGAACTCTTGATTTCTGTTTGACTCATTCTCTATGCCGTCGTAACCTAACCCTAACCAGACAGAGTTACAGGAATAATGACCGTGTTCGGAGGGGTTTCAAGGCCTGGCTGGTTAGCATAGGTTGGTTAGTCCTTGCTGGTAGCTACAGTTGAAGTGAAGCAGAGGTCAGGTCGTGCATTAGCTGAGA